CCCCACGCCGCCACCCAGCTTCACGAGTGAGCGACTTACGACCACTGTCGTTGTCGCTCTGCCTCACCTCCTTCTCTCTCCATCCCCTGTGCCTGGTGACTCTGAGGCAAATCCCCCGTGTCATATTTAATCTGTAAATCATTTCAATATGCAGCTCTAAAAAATGAATAACCCATTTCTAAAAAGGGACCTGCAGTGTTTTGGGGGAGTGGGCCAGAACAGCCATGACCTCTGAGAACTGGGGGGGGGGACGGGGACTGGGCACGGGCACTTCTCGGTACCCCCGGAAGGAGCCGGCTGGCCGGCCGCCTCTAGCACTGTGGGCTCTGCGAGGACCTGTCCACAGAGGGGTGCGCCCTGCAGCCTGGCCTGCCGCCGGCTAGGGGATTGTGCGGTGCTCCAGGCGTCGGGCGGGAGGGGTGACCCCGGCCAGGAGAGCCCTGTTGCTTGCCTCAAGTGCAGGGCTGGCCTGCCCCGCAGTCTGCTGCATGGGGCACGGCAGGATGAGCTCAGACACCTTGGGTCACGTTTGGTGCAGAGAGTCCACATGTTGTCCAATCATGAGAATCCTCTCTGTTTTTCTGTCTACCAACTCCTTTCACGTCCGGGTCTTGTTGCCCACAGCAGCTCCCTGAGATGGGTTTTATTTAAAATGCAGGGGTGCCTTGGGGTACTTGGGGGGCTCAGTCGTTAAGCTTGTCTGCCTTTGGCTCAGGTCATGATCCCAGAGTCCTGGGATCGAGCCCCGCGTCGGGCTCCCTGCTCAGCGGGAAGCCTGCTTCTCCCTCTCCCACTCCCCCTGCTTGTGTTCCCTCTCTCACTCTCTCTCTCTGCCAAATAAATAAATAAAATCTTTAAAAAATAAAATAAAATGCAGGGGTGCCTGGGTGGCTCAGTCAGTTTAAGTGTCCAACTCTTGATTTGGGCTCAGGTCATGAACTCAGGGTCAGGGGATGGAGCCCCGGGTCAGGCTCTGCGCTCAGCAGGGAGTCTGCCTGAGATTCCCTTTCTCCCTTACCCTCTGCCCCTCTCCCCACTTGTGTGCATGCGTGCACGTGCACACGCACTCTCTCTCAAATAGATAGATGAGTCTTTGGAGAAAAAAGTGCACATTTTGCACACCAGGAAACAGAATTTCAGAGATAAACTGCAGTTTCTTTTTCATAGACATAGGGTAAGTGGAAGAGGCAGGATTTGAACTTGGGACTTCTGCCTGCATTTTCTGTTAGATAAGAGCAAACTCTTGTGTCTCCTTGCTCATTTCCTGTCCATAAATGGAACTGCAGAGGAAATGGGATCTGTGGGGTTCATCCTGGTCCTCTCATCTGGCTCACATTCTCAGTGGGAAAACGTTGACTTCCCCCAGCCCAGCAGAGAGGGCTCAGCGTCCTTCTTGGTATCATGATCCCTTGGGCAGGGGGGCACCTGGCTGGCCTCTTCCCCTTTGTCCCCTCAACGGTCTGTGTTCTCTGGCCCTCTGACCAGGGCTGTCTGTCTCTGCTCTCCCCCCTTTTCAGTCTGCTTCAAGCCGGGCTCCCCCTTGTTAACGTCCAGGCTCCCTTTGTAGGTGTTATGCGGCAGGCGCTCTAAAGGAACATGTGTTTACCATTTGCCATGGAGACCGTTTGGGCCTTTCTTCTTCTGAGTGGTGATAAAATGGTACAGGGCGCTCACCCTTCCAGCAATTTGTTTGGTAATTCTAAGAGTCTTGTGAAAAATGCATGAGGCCTGTGGTACAATAGATAAGCTGAAAGGCTTGGAAGGAAATCCACTTGTGGATAGCGGGGCGATTGGAAAAACTCTTTCTTTGCCCTCTCTGTCCTTGTTCTGAAAGAGATCGTGTTTAGGAATAATTCTTCTGTTAATACTGATGCTTTCATCCTGGGTCAAAAGCTTGTTGGCGCCTGCTTGTCAGATATTTTCCCCCTTGGTTTTTTCTAACTTCTTTCCCTTATGAGTTTGGCTTAAATTCATGTCTTAATGATTTGGAGTTCTCTCTTTAAAGGTCACTGCCCTAACGCATAAAAGTGGAACCAGATCCAGCAACTACTCGGACACTCTTCTTGGGACTGGGGGGGGGGCGGTGATTTTCGAGGGGGAGGAAGGCGCATGTCTGGACTTTAGGGGACTCAGTTGCTGGGGGAGACCTGGGCCAGCCCATCGAAGCTAGCACCCCTGATACTGCCTCCTTTCAGAAGGAAGGCAGCAAGTATTATCTGTAATGCCTCTAGCAGGTGGCTATCCATCTAGTTCTAAAACAGCCCCCGTGTGTGGCCCCAAAGTCTGCCTCCATAATCACCAGTCCTCTGTTTTTCCAGTTTAGGCTTTTAAGTCACAGATGAGGGAACTGAGACCCAGAGAAACCAAGTGGCCTGCCCAGGGTGACCCTGGAAGGTGATAACAGTGGGAACCTGGGTTTCTTGAGTCCTGGGCCCTCACTTTTCTCTCTGTACCAGGTTGCTTCCTGGCATGTTGGGGTAGGGGAGGAACAGGGGGTGTGGGGACAGTTCAGTGCTTTCAGGTCATAACCCAGAACATGAATTCGTTGGCCAGGATTATAGATCCAGTAGGGGAAAGCCTAGAAAGCTTTCATTTATCTGTGTGTCTTTAGTACTCTGCACGATGCCCTGAGCACTGTGAATGATGTGTAGTTTGTTGTGTGGATGACCTTTTAACATGAAGACAGTAATATGATTTCACATGTATGCAGGAATCTTGGTGTCTCATGAATGACCTGCTCTTGAGGCAGTGTAGACCTGGGTCAAAGGAACAGTGTTGACAGGGGGTAGTTGCTGCCGGGGAGCCTGCCCTGGAGAGATGTAGGCACTTACACGAGGCTAAGGCTGGAGAGTGTAGAGCTGGGCATGGCCCCTGGCGTGAAGGCAGCTCTGGATAAACCTTCCTTAAAGACACTTCTCAGCTTGTCTTCACGGCTCCGGTGGGTGGCAAACGTGGGCTCGCCCACATCAGCTGCCAGGCTTGTTCTGTATAAGCAGGGAAGTGGGCCAGGAACTGAGCTAACTTGCTGATGGCTGCCTCTCTCGGGAGGAGGAGGAAGGTGGCTTCTCTTCTGTGTTTATGTCTATAGGATGGGTGTGCAGGGAGAGGGCCCAAGAGCATGTTGGCCCCCCAGAGTTCATGGGTATGAGGATGGGAAGAAAGGCTCCCCATGGGCATGTACTGGCCACCCATTGGGGACAGAGAAGTTTTTTTAAACATTCAAAGAAAAAGATACAAATGAGCGCATAACCAGATACTCTGGTATGAAAGACAAGGGGGGGGGGAGCAGATTTCAGAGGAGGAGCAGATATAAATCTCTGGCTTTGTGTTGAGAGCTCTTAAAAATGATTACTAGGAACCAAAATAGGTTCACTGAAAAAAAGAGTAATTCCAAATGGAGCTTTCTTTTTTGTTGATAAGGCTGATTTGAAAAGAAGCATTGTGGCTTTTTTCTTGGCCTTTGCTGACCTTGCAGACTGATCTTGTAGACTGGGTGGGCAGGGGGATGAATTAAGCTGGTGTATTCCTTCCCTGGGGTGGCCTTGACAAAGCACCACAAACTTGGTGGCTTAAAACAACAGGAGTTTTTTCTTCCTCTCACAGTTAAGGAGGCTAGAAGTCTGAAGTCAAGGTGTCTGCAGGGTTGGTGCCTTCTGGAGGCACCGAGAGAGAATCTGTCCCATGCTGCTCTCCTGCCTTCTGGCGGTGGCAGTGGTCTTTGGCAGGCATGACATGAATCACTGTCTCTCTCTTCAGATGGCCTTCTCCCTGTGTGTCTCTGTCCAGATTTCCCCCATCTTAAAGACACCAGTCAATGGATTAGGGTCCATCCTAATCCCGTGTGGCCTCATTTTAGTTTGCTTCCATCTGTAAAGACGCTATTTCCAAATAAGGTCACACTCACAAGCACCAGGGCTTAGGGCTTGAACAGATCTGTTGAGGACACAATTCAGCTCACAATAACAACAGCTGGTTGTCTGAGCCCCTCTCTTGTTACTCCAGCATTCCATATTTTTGTTCTTAGAATCAGTGTTCTGGGGCCAGGTGGATGGTCCCATTTACTGCATCTGCCTGCTGAGCTGCCCTGGCCCACTGATGTGGCTTGGGCTCCTGTAGTCACAGAGGGGCCGAGTGGCAGGGCCGGGATCCTTGTGTTCCTTTCCTGGAAGCATTTTGCCCAGTCTCTTGTTGAATTTTGTTGGAGACAGTAGTTTCTCGTTCCTCATGTGCCTTAGCGTTATTTCCCCAAGGAGATCCTAACTTCCTTAAAGGCTGATTTGGTCACAGCCCTGCTTGCTTGCATCTTCGCAGTCTACCCTGAACCTAGTGGGTAGTGAAGAAGCATGTTGCAGGGGGTACCCGAGGGCCAGGGGGCCGCCCTGTGGCCGGTTTCTCATCCTGCCTTCCACACCCACTCTGTCCTGAATCCCAGCATTCGTTCCGCTCTCGCTGGCCCTGCCCCAGAACGCTTATCCGTGCAGGGTGCTGGGCCACTCTCTTCAAGTGTCATCCATTCGGGCAGCAGGCTGGTTTCAGGCGAGGCTCTATCCAGGGGCCAAACAAGCTGACCGGAACCTGCTTGCGCTCCTTTTGTCAGCTCTGTTTTTTCACTCTGGCCTCCCTTTCTCAGTTTTGGCTTTGTCCGGCCTCTCCCTCAGATCTCAGGGAGACTGCTCCCAGCTGCCCGGGCCCCTCGGTGCGGGAGAGAATGGCCTTGTCCCAGCATTCCTAGCAAGAGCTCTGAGCCTGCATCTGATTGGACCGACTCGGGTCACGTGCCCTCTTCTGGAGCCAGTGGCCAGGGTGGAAGGTGCTGATTGGTCTAACCAGCGTCACGTGATCCTCCCCAGACAGTGTGAAGCGCCAGACCGAAGTCAGGGTCGGTGGAGGCAGAGGAGGGCGATGGATGCCGTGAGGGTGCGTGGGATGGAATCTTGCGGAAACCTCGTTTCTGCATCAGCCTCCCGCCTCCAACTGGAAGAGGTGTGTTTTCCTTTCAGGAATATATCGATGCGCACCCTGAGACCATTGTCCTGGACCCTCTTCCTGCCATCAGGACCCTGCTCGACCGCTCCAAGTCCTATGAGCTCATCCGGAAGATCGAGGCCTACATGAAAGGTACGGACACACGTGGCTTGGCCCCCATGGCAGGTGGCCCACCTCTACAGGGACGGGGTGGTCATTGCATGGGGGGGGAGGGGACAGGGTGTCTGATCTTTTTTAAGCCCTTTGGGGCAGGAAGGAGTTGAATTCCCCAGGGGCACACATTCTGGGGAGGGCCGTTTTCTCTCCTCTGCCCAGCAGAATTAGGAAATAAAAGCCCCAGGGTGCTCTTTGGGAGACAGAGCGTCTGCAAGCACTTCAAGACGGTTTTGTTTTGTTGTCTTGAGCGCACAGAGTGATGAAGTGTCCCGACAACACAGCAGTTCGAGAGCAGGAGTGTGTGTAGACTAGCGGAGCAGTGGGCAGGGAAGGGGAGTTACGTAACTGGGCAAGGGAGACAAACAGATTGAAGGGCCTTTAATCAAACACACGGAGATGTGTAATGTGGCGGCTGGACCTCGTGGGGTACACTCTGTTCCTGAGGGCGGGAGCCTCCCGCTTAGCTACAGGCACTTTTTTTGCCAGCAACATCCCCTTGTCTCTGAGGACTCTTTCTCCCCACCTTCCTGGGCCGGGCTGCTCCAGAGGAGTTGGACTGCCTTCCCCAGGTGTTCATGTGAGAAGGGCTTTTTGGGAAAGATTCATGTTAACAGTAACCTAGTTCTCTTTGCCTGGCCCAAGCGTTTCTTGCTGAGAATTCTTGTTTGATTCTGAGGAAAAGTGCTTTGCCCATGTCCTGGGGCTGTGTGAAGATTCATCTAAGGAGCGGGAGAGGCAGCCCCCACTCTTGCCGTCCAGACCATGAGTGTGGCCTATCCTGGCCCTTGACGTGGGTGGTGACTTGGCCTGCCCTTCTTTCGTGTGGTGGTGGGACCGGTGGGAAGAGTTTGGCTCGCCAGACCAGAGGCAGCCTGTTTGCAAGGTTAAGCCTCCTTGCCTTCTCTCTTCCGGTGCTCATAGAAGTGGGTGTCCTCCCTGTTTTGCAGACAGTAGTGGAGACTGAGAGGTTAGCAGATGGGCCGACATCGCACAGCCTGTGTGTAGCAGAGGCAGCATCCCACCAGGTCTCCCCGACTTGGGCTGTCAGCTCGTAGCCCCTGAGCTTAACTTACGTGTCCGCAGCCAGAGGGCCCTGGATCTAGCAAGCACCTGCCGGCACGGACCTTGGCTAGGAGAGTTGGCGATTCCTTGCTTCTCTAAGGAACGTACCCTGTGGAAGAGCTGGTGTTGGACCTGGCTGTCCTGGAAGGCGTCTCGAGGCCTATTTCCGAGGTTGCCTGGCGTTCAGCGGGTGGCATGAAGCATGACCTTCTGGGTGGCCCCCAAACAGCAGGCCTTTTCAGCATGCCAGCATCCTTTTCCCCTTGGGCCTGGAATGGTCATTGATGATGTCAACTTCCCTTCCCTATGCATTCCTTCCCCGGGTCCGACTAGAACCTTCAGATGAGAAGGAAGATCTGTAGGGATGTTCCGGCTAAACTTTGGTTCTGGAAAGGAAATCCGCCTCTTCCCAGGAGTTGTGTGCATTGGACACCCAACTGTGTGTGAAGGGATAGGATATGAATCCGATCCTGATGAGAAGGGCCAAGTCATGGGAGGAGTTGCAGGTCGGCAGCCACGTCGCGTGTCCTCAAGTCCACGAGAGGAGTGATATGTACTGATGGGATCAGGGAGGACACTGCTGGGAGGGTTTTTTCCGAGCAAAGAGCGCAGGCTTTGCGGGGAGACAGACTGAGGTCATACCTGAATCTGGGCTCAAGTCCCTTGACCTAGCTTTGCCTGTTTTCTGTTCAGATGTTCACAATAAGTGGTTTGTCCACCGGGCCTGCAGTGGGATGACATCTGATGAGCACTTAGCATGGATCCTGGCTCATGGTGTCCCCTGGGAATGGCAGCTGCTGGCACATCTCCCATTATGCTGGAAGGGACTGATCTTGGGGTCTCTCTCAGTTTTCATGGGTAGAGAGTCAGGGCTGCGGTCAAGGGTGAGCGTGGGCCGGGAGTGTGAGTGTGCACAGTCGGGGAGCAGGGACCGGTGATGGGGCGGACTGCAGTGTGCACAGGAAATAGGACTGTCCCTGGTGGGCAAGACTGTGGGTGGCAGCCTGGGCCTCCCAGACAGGACAGCGGCGTGAGCAAAGCGGGACATGACTGCGGCGTGGGGTGCTTGTGCATGCCTCGCAGACTGTTGGGTCAGCGTGCGGTACTTGGAATGCCTCGTTGCAGTAGGGCACTTCGTTCATGGGCACCCACTGAAGGAGTGTGAGCTGCTGAGTGAGGACATGGCCATACATTTTAGATCAGTGCAGACATGGCCTGGAGACAGGTTCTAATGGCCATTACCTATATCCTGTTGTAAGGGTGACCCACACTGAGCCACATGTGTGAGGGGCTGGTGACCGACTCCCAGTGGGTAGAGAATCAGGCTCCACTCTATTAGGTCCAAGAAACCTCAAACTCAGGTGTCCTCAGCTCAGGAGTTGCCTGCAGGATGGGGGTGGGGAAGCCCCCTCCATGCTGGGTAGGAACGTGTTGACTGAACCCTAATGGCAGGCTTGGTCTTAGGCCAGCAGGAATTGTTCTGTGGGTGGGCCGTGACCGCTGCGCCCTGGATTTTCCTTATCGTGCACACCGAGCCGGGCTGGTATTCTTCCAGGAGGGTGGGCAGAAGCTGGGATTTCCTGGAGCCTTTTCCTGACCCCCTCCCCACCCCCACAGCTGCTCTTATGGGAGCAGTGCTGGCTCTCACCTTCCAGCCTCCCAGAGCTGGGGCTGCTCCTCCCTGAAGATGCAGAGAACCTTCTCTGGGAGGCACATCCCCAGCACTCCTCCGCCCCACTCCTGCTGTTCCTAAGGCAGCCCTGTTAAGCATGCTGTTAATGGCCATAATTACCCCGTAAGTTCCCCCAGACAGTTAGAGCCGTCCAAGTGACACTGCTTTTGTGTTGAAAGAAGGGGCTTGCTGGAGACCTCAGGGTGTCGCTGTCCTTCATGCCAAGGGGGCTCTGCCTGCCTCAAGAGAGCCTGGGCAGCTGCTGCGGGGCTCCCTGCTCTGCAGTGGGGGTGGCGGTCTTCCAGGAAGAGCGGCGGAGTATTTGGAGCAGGGGTCCACACTCTGTCTCCACGCAGAGTGTCAGCTGTGGAGACCCGTGAGGGCTGCTGCCTGGAGCCCCCAGCTCCCCATCTGAGTACCTCGGCACCATCTTGGTTCCATGCTCCCAGCGTTCGTCCTCTTTTCTGGTTCAGAGCCTGAAGGGGAGGCAGGATTCTTTCTCCGCCTCAGAGACCCACCACTCAAGTTGCTGTAGCAACAGAGACCTGAAATAACAGTGGCTTAAATGAGATAGAACCTCATTTCTCTCTCATAGAAAAGCCTAGAGGAAGGACCCAGACTTCTTCCAGCGATCGTTCTGTGATGTGAGCCTCCTGGTCCACGGTGGTGCTGCTAAAACTCCAGCCATCACATCCAGGATCTAGACATAACGGTCGGGAGGGGCTGAGGAAAAGGAAGCAAGGGGAGGTAGCCCTAGTTATCTTTTAAGGAAAAGCTCTGAAAGCCACAACGTGGTGCTCTGTCCACACATCATTGGTCAGGACTGAGTCCCATACTGAGCTGCAAGGGAGTTGGGGAATGTGGGCTCTATTCTGGGCAGCCATGTGCCCAGCTAAAATTTGGGAGCTTTGTCACTGGAAGAAAGGGGAGAATGAGTTTCTAAGGAGAGCTAGTTGTCTGCCATCTCATCTTCTGAGAAGTGGGCTGCTACCTGGGGAATCCAGGGGTGAATGAGTCTTGGAATGACCGTTCCTCCTCCAGCTGGCTGGGGGCTGTGGCCTCAGCCTGTGACCTTAGCAGTAAGTTTCTTCCACAGAGCAGCTCAAAGCAGCGTGAGGTCACGAGGCTTGCAGAGTGACCCACCCCAGAGCGTTTGGGCCACAGGATTCTCTAGTAGATGACTGTTTTTGGGCGGGGCTGCACCCACACCCCTTAGCCAGAGGCACAGATGGCACTGAACCTGGATCCAGTTTAAACTGAGGGCAGGAACCTCCCAGAAATGGAACATTGCCTGGTACAGCTGGTACAGGCATGGGGTCGGGGGAGGGAAGGCTGGGTCAACAAGTCATGATTGCCGAGCATGCGTCTGCAGGCCTTTTCTCTCCCTGCCGCCTGCTTTGCTGGACAGGGCCAAGATTTTGAGATGGAAGCCCCGAGACAAAGGCCTGGCTCTGCCACCCCAGACTGAGCGATTCTGGGCAAGGCTGTAGCTGGCTCCTGAACTGGCCAAAGCTATACAGGAGAAACTGTACTGTGGTTGGAGGACACAGGCCAGTCGTCTTGGCCCGGGGGGTGGGGGTGGGCAGTGGCTGATGGAGGGCATCAGGCCACAGGACAGAGGGCTCAAGAGACCCTTCAGAGCTGATGACAGAGGAGGGTGATGGGTGACAGGTGCTCTGGAGGTGACAGATAACCATCGGGACACCAGACCTCCCTGGGGAGGGAGGTACACACCACGGATGGGAGCATTTCTGCCTGTGGTTTTATGGGAATTTAATTAGGGCTCATCTTGGAGGCTGTTGGGAAGCTTGATTGAAAAACGGAGTAATCTAGACAGCAAGTGAAGAGAAAGGAACATTCCTCAGAGCCTGGAGGACTAATTCCCCACAGAGCCTCCATCGGGCGAGGACTGCGGGGTGGGAGGGCTGTGGTGGAGCTGGGGGTGGTGGTTGTCCATCTTTGGTGCATGGCACAGGCCTGTGGGCGGGCAAGGAGAGGCCGGGAGGGGGCTTGGAGTCAAGGCTTGGGCCTCAGACCTGCCTGAGTCCCCTGCGTCTTGTGGCCTGAGCAGGTCACTTTCCTGTCTGAGCTTGCTTTGTCAGCACGCGGTGGGCCCTTGGGGGAGCACCTACTGCATGCCAGGTGCTGTTGGGAGCACAGTGCACGTGTAAGCTGATTTCTTCTGCACTGTGGCCCGTGAGAAAGGTTCCACACTGAAGTGCATGAGCTTGTCCCTTCAGGC